CTGCTGATGCGCTCTGTGATTGACATCTGCCAGGAGGTCATCAAACAGTCCAACGTGCAGATCCTGGTGCCCCCTGCGCGCCCCGACATTATGCTTTTCCGTCCAGGGGCTGCGGACCTCGGCTTCCCTCTTGACATGACCAACGGTGCCACTTTGGCACCCAATGGCAACGGCATTGCTGGTATGCCTGAAGATGAGGCCACGCGGGCTGCGCTCACTGCCGCGCAGTCCTCTCTACCTGTCCTGCAGGGTGTGGACCGCCTGCCCATGGTGGCAGGACCTCTGTCCCCACCACTGCTGGCCTCACCCTTCCAGAATGTTGCTGCTAGTGCCCCCACTTTAAGCACCAAGAGGGGCAGAGGGCGACCCCGTAAAGCCAATCTCTTGGACTCTATGATGTTCGGTACCCCAGGGGGGCTGCGAGAGGCTGGTATCCTGCCTTGTGGCCTCTGTGGGAAAGTATTTACGGATGCTAATCGTCTTCGTCAGCATGAGGCTCAACATGGGGTGACAAGCTTACAGCTGGGCTACATAGACATCCCACCCCCAAGACTGGGTGAAAATGGTGTCCCTGGTCAGGATGACCCCGATGCACCCCGAAAAAGAAGCAGGACGAGGAAACAGGTGGCCTGTGAGATCTGTGGCAAGATTTTTCGGGATGTGTACCACCTGAATCGGCACAAGCTGTCACACTCTGGCGAGAAGCCTTACTCTTGTCCAGTGTGTGGCTTACGGTTCAAGCGAAAAGACAGGATGTCCTATCATGTTCGATCCCACGATGGCTCTGTGGGAAAGCCGTACATCTGCCAGAGCTGTGGAAAAGGCTTTTCCAGGTAAGAGAGTACTTACGAGGACCATAGACACAAGTGGAGACCTAGGAAGTTGTCTTTCCTGTCCATTGGGAAACAAGAACAATTTGTATTTAGGATAGTTTGACGGTTCCATTTTAAAATGTCTCGAGAAAGGAGACTTCCATCATTTCTGCTGGGATGCTGTTCTACAGTCTCTTGAAAGGGTTTGAAAGTAATTAAGACATAGAACTGGGAGTCAGCTGGCTTCTGGGTAACGTTCCCAGCTTTGTCCCAGGCTTGATGTATGCGTGTCCTTGGGCAAATCAGTTAGTCTCTCCCTCAAATGACTCTTCTGTGAAATGAGTATTGCAATAATTACCTACCTCACATAAGTGTCTTGAGACTACTGATTTGTAGGTAGTTTGAAGGTGCTGTTGAAGTGCAAAATATTAATACATCTCAAGATTATTATTTTTCTCGTATCCATTTTAAATTTTCTTTTTCTTAACTTCCCTTCATTTCTCTTAGTTCGTAATGTTTTTTATCACCCAAATGTGAAGGAAGAGGTGAGATTTCAAAGGCTGCAGCATCAAGTATCTTTTAATACATGATCTTTGTGTCCTTTGGGTTTACATCCTTCTGAAGGGGATCCTGTTTCTGCCCTGCAACATACGTAAGATCTGTGCATTTAATGTTGCTGATTTTTTGTTGTCGCTGTTTGTGGGAGTTAATTTAATAAGTAGTTTGATACGCATAGTCGTGTTAGCGGTATCTTACGGTCTGAGTTAATGAATTTGAAACTCTCTTGGAGGTTTGATGCTCACTTTGAGACTAGAAGTAGTGGGGGGAGGGGGATGCCTACACTCTGTATTACTTTTGTAGCAGCAACGATTTTCTACAGCAGTAGATTTGCTCTAACAGGAGGGAAGGAATCAAGATATGAAAACAAATCAAAAGGCTACTAGGGCTAGAATTGTCCCAGCTATAAAATGTGCCCCTTCTAGCTCTCTTTTTGATAGAGGGACTTTTTGTTACTGAAATACATTAAGAAAATGTAGACGCTTTTTTTTTTTTTTTACATTAGCAATGATGAGGGGTGCATCGTCATAAGGACTGCAAATTTAGTGATAGAAAGTCAAAAAATGAAAATTTCATCTGTAGGTAGAAGTGAAAGTATATTTCTTGTAGTGCTGCCTGAGATCATCTGCCGATTTTTATTATTTTTATTCACACTTAAAGTTTTCTGCTGTTACTGTATGAAAGCTTTTTGTAAACAAGGGAAAGTGAAACATACATGTTGAGTTTTCATTCTTCCTAGTAAGTTAATGTGAACAGGCAGGGATGCTGTCCATAAAAGTAAACAACACAAATGTCTGCACATCTTTGTAAAATCAGAGTATGAATGAAACATAGAGACTCTTTCTTTAAGTTTCAGTATTCAGTCATAGGAGCAGCCAAAGGAAGTTGGAAGTGCGATGTCTAATTTTAGTATCCTTTCCTTCATTCAGCAACGCAGCACGTGAGGTTGCTAGGCTTGAGGTACCTAGAAGGACCCCCAACCAGTCTTTCCGGTTACTCTGCTCCAGCCCCCTTGCTGGAGCATCAGGTTTAACAGCCTGACTGCAAAGTTCAGTCTATTTTCTTTCTGCAGTGCGTGAATTCCATCCCGCGTCCTCTCATTGGTGCAGCTGGAAAGTTGGGGGAGGAGAGGGTGGAGAACTTGTTTCCAAGCAGTTTTGGCCTGATACAATGAAAAGCTTTATTCCCAATAGGAGAAACTCCCACCAGGAAAATCTGCAGCTATTCAGTTCTGTCTTCTTCAAAGTAGGCTTTACTGATTGTGAAGAATGATCTAACTTTTTTTTTTGAGTAATAATTTGCTCTTCCATTGCACCTTCTAGTTGGGACTTTCAGAGGACTTTATTTGTATTAATGCAGTCTCCCCACCAAGTTGTGAGTTAGGACAGTCTTTTTTTTGTCTTGATGGAAATTGTGTCACAGCAGCAGAGTTTAGAATCGGTCTTTTTGCACAGAGGTGCTTAAAGTTGGCTTCTTACATCCGTGTTTGAGACGTAAACCAAAAGGGTCTGATTTTCAAATATTCAGCAACTGTAAATCAAAGTGCCCTGATTGTCAAGATCCAAATAGGATTTTTGGAAGGGGACATGCAGGCTTGAAAATTGTAGCTTGTATTTCCTATTTTCTCTGATCATTCAGTCATCATTTCTTCCTGAGAAAATGCTGCCTTTTTAGCAAGTTGGAGAGGGTACTTGTCAAGGTAGAGTCCCAGTTGTTGGTGGTCTGGTTCTTGGAAAGTTAAATATCACTACATTTGTAATAGATCCACCACTGGGATCTTACCTTTTTTTTTTTGTTGTTGTTTTTGGTTTTTTTGGTTAAAATTGTAAGTTTCTTTTTAGTATTTGTTTTAAGTGTGCTTATGTGTATTTTCTTTTAAGGCCAGACCACTTGAACGGACACATCAAACAGGTGCATACCTCAGAGAGACCTCACAAGTGTCAGGTAGGAGCTGGAGGGGTTCAGACTGATGTATGGGTAATCTTTGGCATTGCATTTATGTGTGCAGAGAATTACGAAGTATCAGTAAAAATCCCATGTATGTGTGAATTGGGATAAATGTTTGTAAATAACAGCGTTCAACAGTGACAGCAGCTTTACATCCCTCCCGTACCTCAGCCCCTTTTGTCAGCTTTGGTCCTCCTGCCTCCCTCTCCTTCTACCAGATGTTCTTCCCTACTGCTCTATCCCAGTTTCAACCTAGATCTCTTACCCAGCCACCTTGTCCCTGGGCTTAGAGTCAACATCACAAATGATTCCCTCCACCACCACCACCCCTTTTTTTTTTAATTGTAGTTGGTGCCAATAGGAGACTCCAATGCCAATTTCATTTTTTTTAAGAGTAATTTCGAATAAAATTGGTAAATTATCATAAGTTTCCAATGTACTCTTTTTTTAATCACCATAGCCTTCAGAACATTGCACTGAGCAAAATTGGAAGCTTTTTTTTATCCCAGGGAGAATATACATAACAGCATCACAGTATTCTTTGAAATATGTCATAATGTTGTATATAGTTTTTTTACAGTTAATGAATTATTCATTAGGGTTTGAAAGATAAAATCAAGGAAGATATTTTGTAATTCATTTGTAGAGAGATTTAAAAGGTGCCTGGAAGTATTAAGTAAACCCAAAGTTGAGAATCAGCTTCCACTATCACCCACTGCCTTCACATAGTTGTTGGGCAAACATCTAAAACATTTGTTGGGCTAACAGTCTCCATGCTTGGTCTCTGAAGAAAGATTTATTTAAGTATTTATTTAAAGAAAGTTGGAGCAAGATAATTTTAATTTTCTTTGAAGACAGTGAAGGTTAGAGGACTTTTTTCTCCTAAAATTTTTAACCACATTTCATGAACCTCGTCAATCCTACATGACTGCTGCCTCCTGATCTACGTTTTATCCCCATCTCTTGACACACCTCTCCTGTTTCCTCCAAATTGTGAGAGTTTTGAAGTATTTTGCAACTTTAATAATCCAGTGGACAGTTATTCAGACATACAGAGCTATCTAAAGGTTTCTGTTGACCTCCATATTATCTGTGGAAGCCCAACACTTTTGAAAATCAGGCCATAGAGCCTTCACATTGATTTAACTGCATATCCTATATAAAGCCTTAGATTGGTTTAAGCTTACTAGTATGATTTAAGGGCTACAGATTTGTATAAATCGGAAATTTCCACTCATAAAGACTCCACAATTTGGGGATAGCAAGGGGTCTGGGTGGGTGAACTGAAGGTAACTACCAGTTTTTTCCATAAGCATGTATTTGTGTGCAAGTATGAAAATCAATGTTTAGGTCCCAACATAAACAGAAACTCCTAAGTCTTTTGCCAGTTGATATCAAGATTACTGAATGAACACAGTTTATGAATAATGTTGATAGACATGGATTGTCCTTTGCCAGCTGATACTGATAATTTTTTAATAGTTTTCTGATTAAGACTATTAAATACAAACTCTTAAGTGTGAATCAGCGAGAAAGTCAAGAAATATGGAAGCTAAGATTGCACAGCCAAGCTCAACTCCGTCTCCTTGCACACATGTATTTTGTGATAGGAATTTCTAAGAGCAGTCTTTCTCATTGTGTGTTGTTTAAAGTGCTGTAATACTGCATGCACTCTTCATTTGAGTTAAAAGGTATGGGCTATAGGTTACAAGCATCAGGACAGAGTTGAGGTTGTCATTCAGGCTTGATTTTTGACTGCTTAACCCTGCAAAGTTACTTTTTTGGTCAATCTTAAGATGTATAAAATTTGTTAAAGAGTTGTTGTGTGTCTTTGCAAAAACTACTTTATAATAACCTGTCAGATGTAGAAGGTCTTCTTAAATATGCACAGATCTGATATACGTGGTACAAACCACAGAAGGGATGCTAGCACACTGAAAATTTGTTTCAAATCTGAAAGCTGATACATAAATTGATAAAATTTTCCTTGTGGTTATCTCATAACCAGTAACACTTCTGTTCCATGACGTGTATCTAAACACAGAATCTGGCCACTAAAAAGGAAAATAGCTTAATATTGGCATGCTGATTTTCCATTCTCTTTTTCCATTGGCGTTGTTTGGCAAATTAGCTCCCTATGAGAGTAGCCTGAACAGCATTGCGCATGCTTTTTGAAGCTGTTGAGTTCCTGTTGAAAATTGCTGTTATTGTCATGCTTTGTTTATGTTGACTGCAAAAGAGAAATATTCTGTCAGTAAACAGAAAAGCTTTTCAGAATCTTGTATGGTAATGGCATTCTTGGAAGTGGTGCTCTGTTATTATTTAAACAAAATTCACTGGCCATTTACGTGAGCCCTCATGTATCTTGGCAAACCAGTGAATATGTAATGTTTTGTTGATGTGGCATCATGGTACAATTTTGGACTACCAAAACAAAAGCGTGAAGGTGTCAGCCCAACTTCAGAATAAATAAAATGAAACTGTGAGAAGCAGGACAATTGTAAGCTGAACTTCACTGCAACAGCTATAGTTTTCAGTGCTCAGCATGTAGTCCTGCACTCATCCCCCTAAAATAATGGCTCTGCTTCACAGATCTTTGAAAAACTATCTGAAGTTCCAGCACCTGTAGCACCTGATGCCAGACAACCACCTGATTCCAGCTTTTTCATTACTGTTAAAGTACACTCAGAATAGGGAAGGCGTCCACAGAGCCAAGGCAGCACAGAGATCAGATCCAAGAAGTTGCTTTGGTGTCCAGACAAGACACCAAATGGCACTCTGGATCTTTTCTCCTGATTGTTGCACTGGTGATTTTTTTTTCTTTTTCTTTTTTTTTTTTTTTTTTAATTTGACAGTTGATTTCTGGATGTAGGAGACAGGGTAAGTCAGTTTTCTGGCCATAACGGGATAGCTCAGTTTGCTAACTTGTCATGGGAAGGGGTGAAGCTGGGTTGTTGGCTTTGGAGTGTGAATGGTAGGAAAGTTAGGCTGCAGTTCGGGAGGAAACAGTGACCTGAAAATCTGTGGACATGAAAGAACAAGGGGAAAAAACAGAAGTTTGTTCCTTCTCAGAGACAAGAGACAGGTTGTTCTTCTGGCGATTTAAATAAAAAGGAGAAAAATGCAGGTTAAATTAAAGCACAACTTTTGACAAAGAAAAAAATCTATTTGTTTAAGTAAACTTAAAATTGGCATCCCAAGTCCAGTGCTTTTCCCATTGATTTCAATGCAGAATGAGTTTCTTCCTGTCCTAATTTCTCTTACTTCCTGCCTATTAGCAGGAAAATGGCAGCCACCATGGAATAAGCTCAGAGACATCCACATCCATAGAAAAGTTGAAACTTCAAGAGGTATTTCTTAAACAATGTTTTTTAAACTTTATATATATTCTTTTTGATCTATTTATATACCTGTGCAATGCTTAATAGGAAAGCACTGGAGAGTTTTCTTCTATGATTAACAATTAATGATAAATACTTAGCACTCATTTAGCACTTTACATCTTTTGTAAAATAAAACTTTTTTTTTTCTCTATACCTTTTATAAATATTAACTATTTGAATATTAACTTTGGGGTTTTCTTTAAACCTAGTCCTGTCTCCCATTGTTATGATTCAGCTAAACTGGTTCTTGCTTTCTCCACTGGACTTAATTTTTTTTTTTTTTAAGCTTCTTCGCAGATATATTTACTATATAGCTTTTCCAAAGGCGAACTTTGCACAACTCAGCAGCAAGAGTGAGAAATCAAACACAGAACTGATTATATTGCCTTTTCTTAAGCTTTCGACTTGCTAAGTTCAATATGGGACAGCTACGGTTTTACTTCTGGCATCCCTGTATTTATGTGGTTTGTCTCTGGTCTGCTTCATCAACTAATGCACCCCCAATGCTTTTGTATTACTGTGGCTCAGTAATTTTAGACTTATCAATGATGGATCTCTTGGCTGTCATCTTTGATTGTCTAGATATCTATCTTCAGTTGATATCCAACAGATTGATTAGTATCAGTGCTAGAATCCTGCCTTAAATGAGTGTTTAAGAACATTTTAGTAAGTGAAAGCTGTACCTGTTTTGCTCAGTGCTGTGTACTGAGATTTCAAATTAAGACAAGTCTTTCATGTTCAAGGATCTTAATCTTCACTACTTGTGATTTGTGAATCTTTGTCTGGTGAGCTTAGTTAAACTGTATAGATCACAGAAATCCAGATAATTTTACTGTTGTCTTTTTAAGTTTTTTAAGTTCATTAAGTCCTGATCCTCTGAGGTGCTAAGTCTTGTGCTTGCTGCAGAGTAGCCTCAGCTCTGTGGGAGTTTACCACACTTAAGCATCTCATAGGATCAAATGAGTGTAAAGCCTGTTGAAATTCATAGGTACTTTTCAGTTGCCTTAAGTGTTTTTTGGATTAAGCTCTTGATTAACTAAATGATATAAAATTACATGGGTTATCCCCTTATTTCACTTATTTGACGTTATAATTTTGTAATTTTACTAGGATTGTTATTTTTAACAAGTCTATCTCTGTTGAAACAGTTGTTTAATTACACACTGATACTTGAAGAGACAGAATATATCCAGTTCCCAAGTCACTTAATAGTCTCATATTATCTTTTAGGGGGTTCTGGTTATACATCTTAAAACTGTGTTCTTTTATATAAAGGTGGTATAAATGAAACAGTGTACACTCTTGAATGTCACTGTTGCCTGCTCGGTGTGGTCATTCTAGCCTATGTTTTCATTTGTTTTTCCTCTTGCACTTGTGAGCAATGGTTTCAGGCTATATTTTTAATAACTTGTACAGTGTGTTGTTGGTGATTTATTTTCCTTCATGTTAGAGATGCAGCAAGCCTTTCAGAACTGGCAGGCTGTTGTAGTAGGCTATATACATGTATGCCTGCCAATTGCTATGATTATAAAAATGGGAGGGAGCCTTCACTTATCATATGGATTATATCTGGGAAGTGGACAAGTAGAATGAATATTATCTTATGCCAAATCAAGCTTGTTTCATGGTAGAAAGTGGAATATGATGCCTTGATCAGGGGTAAGTTATAAACAGATTACGGTGTTATGCAGTTATTTTGATACCTGCTCAGTTCTGAGGCTTCACTTCTATGGTTTGTCTGCACTGCTATTGTGGATACCAGGATGGCTCCTTTACTGTCTTTTGTCATACTCTCATCCCAGCCAATTCTCTGATGCTTTGTTTGTATGTCTTCATACTCCAAAGGGATTCTTGTGTACTGAAGTTAGATTGATCAGATCAAAGAGTAAAATTGAGGACCATAACAGAGGGGACATTTTGAGTGGTCCAAAATGATTGTAATGACTCAGTGAAATGGCAGAATTTACTGTAAATTGAATGAAGTGGTTTGTGCTATTTCTTTTATTAAATACTACTTAAAGTTTTAGTATCTTGATCCTCAGAGAGGAGCTAAGGCCTTACAACTCTATCTTGATTTAAGTTTTACTGTCTGTAGTATGTTAGAGCTGTTTTCTTGCTTTCTTAATTCTTCTGAGTAGTAACATTGCATCTCGTGCAGTATGTTGCTGATTGGAATTTTTTATTTGTGGGAAAATGGCTCGTGCATTATGTCATTTGTGTGTTTGCACAGGGTCTAAGGTATTTACTCTAAACAATACTAAGTATATTCGACAATATCAGTGCTTTTAGCAGAGTTGATGAGTCACATGGTTCTCATTATACCTGCAGACTTGTAATGCTTCCTTTGCCACTCGTGACCGGCTGCGCTCACACCTAGCATGTCATGAAGACAAAGTTCCATGCCAGGTGTGTGGGAAGTACTTGCGAGCAGCATATATGGCAGATCATTTGAAGAAACATAGCGAAGGACCAAGCAATTTCTGCACTATCTGTAACCGAGGTAATGAAGAAACTATTTTTTTATTTCAGTGGGATGGGACAACACTTGAGGGAAGCTTAAGGCTACATGACTCTGTCTGCAGCAGGAGGAGGTTATACCATATACGCGTACATATTCTTTGTTTTTCTTACTGAAAACTTAACCTTGAAACTGATGGAGCTGTAGGTCTGGCCTTTTTACATGGCTGATAGTTCCTGAAGAAACTCAGTTTAAATCTGAAGCTAATTGTTTCTCTGCAGTTTTAAGAATTTTATTTGCTAAATAGCCAGATCCCTATAAAATAACCATGATATAACCTTGCCGCTGTTCACCATACACCTTTTTTCGATATCTGGTTAGCCTTGAGTCCTTGCATTCATTTTGAAAGAAGAATCTTTGAAGTATGCACCAAGTGGAAAATTATAGACTGTACATAAAAAAATATCTACATTATGTTATCAGTCTCTCTTAACCTCCTGGTGCAGCAGTAGAGTCAAGCTGCTTCTCCCTCTTAACCCAAGAAATTGCTTTGTGATAATGTACATTTCTAAAACAAAGTTTGTAAAGAGCACTAGAAATGTGCTTTTCCTTTATTTGTATGAATACAGCTTTTCATAGAATCATAGAATATCTCAAGTTGGAAGAGACATACAAAGATCATTGAGTCCACCTCCCTGCTCTTCTCAGGAGTACCTAAAATCAAACCATATGACTAAGAAATTTTGAAGCTTTTGCATCTGTTTGTGATACTCTTCAGTTGGAGAGAGTTGTAAATCTAGGCTTTGTGGGATCTAAGGCAAGCTGGAAAAATAATTTTGACTTATTGATGTCTTTATTTTGAATGATTAATACACAACTTCACAATATATTGGCTTACACAGGTACACATACCTAGTAAGTGTAGGAAGAGGTCACTGCTGTGTTTTGGGATGTTGTTTTTTCTGATGAGTCATTTTTTTATGATGTGTGTTCCCTTTTCTAATTCAAGAGAGGTGAAATCTTTTGTATTTAATGTGAGGACTGTACAGGGAGCTTTTGGACGACTAGGAGTCGATGAGCAATGAGAGACATTACATTGCAAGGGAGGTATTTCCAGTGGTTGAAGTGTCTGTTAGGTCCTGAAAGTGATGTTTACAGTTTGAGTGGAAAAGGCATCTGGATTGAAAATCTTCAGATTCTAAAGCTCTAGGTAGATGATACGAAATGAAGCTTGGCCTCTTTTCAGCTGAAGGCCTATCTTCTGAAAAAGTGCTTAAGCTTATCCTTTCTTATGTGGTAACAACATGGAAGATGCTATCCAAGATCCAGGTGCTATCCTGCTCTCCTTCAGTTGAACATGGTGCCAAACAGACTCATGGGTTGGGAGGAATTGTCTATCTTGTTTCCAAGATTTGTAGGCTTGAGTTTCAACTTAACTACCACTGGATGTCACTGCAGCTCTTTTGAAATTCAGCCAGCATCACAAAGACAGATCTGGCATTCAAACAATGAAATGACTAAATGGTTTATTCACATTTTACAGGTTTAAATGTATAGTGGAAACTTAAATAAAATAGATATTTCTCTGTAGAAGGATAGGAAACCCATTGTGCAGCAAACTTTAAGCAACGACTTTGTTCTTAACAGTTTGTGTATTTGATGTGTTGTCAGAATTTAGTCTGCTGCGAATTTCAGTTTACATCAGCGCTTAGAAAACGTAATTAATCTGCTGAATTATTGTTAAATATCTACCCAGTGTTAAAATTCATAGGAAAGGGAAGTTGCAGACTGTTTGTCAAACAGCTATGTTATGAACTCACTGTTATATGCTCTGACTTTTGATTATGGATTTATGATCCATGACAGCAGAATTTTTAATCCAAAGTGTTCTAGAATCAAATTATAATGTTCATTGTTTTAAATAGATATCTTTTAAATTGTAGAGCCTGGTAAGATGAAGTATAGTGGAAAATTTCTGGATTAGAAACAGCTATTCGGTAGCCATTGGTATGCGTCATCCCCCCAACTGTGATTGTGCCGTGGCTATGGTGTTTGTGCCGTGGCTATGGTGCTTGTGCAATGGGATTTTGTTTTATTTTTCCCTCAGCTAACATGCTGGTGTATTTTTTAGTTGGAACTTAGCTAGCTCTGGATATAGCAATTGGCAAGCAAGAATACTCAAGCTGCTTATAGAGAGAATTTTGGATGTTGACCCTCCAAAAAAAAAAAAAAAAAAAGTGGATGAAAAGGTGACTCTTACACAGCTGAACATATCCTGGTGTTAACAACAGAGCTTAGAATCCCTCAGTTTATCCCATCAGACTGAGGGCTTTTCTGTGGAACTTAATTGAGTGTCTCATGTTCTTTTAAAGGTTTAATGGATTTAGGAGATGGGGAACTCGGTACCTGACTGAAAGCAGTAGCCACTGGTTTGCCATGTCATGCATGTACTCATTTGCTGATTTTATTTATTTATTTATTTAACAAAATGGCAGTATAATGTCCAAAAATTACCATCTGTGATTTGATGTTTTTTCCAGGTTATTTTCTTACTTAGGGTCTTTATGCTTAGAATAATTATGGAAGTAATTAAATCTTGTTAAATGAGGGAAACTGTGCAATGTTTTTTTCTGGGATTTTCTGTTTGGGTTTTTTTTGTTGTTGTTGGGGTTGGTTTGGGGTTTTTTGTTTTGGTTTTTTTTTTTAAAGAATTCATCTAAAACGTGCTTATGAAAACTAATCCTCAATCCTTACTTTTTAAGACAAATTCTCTTTAATCAGTTTAAATAAAAAAGACCAGCTCCTGCTTTGTTACATAATCTTCTATTACCATCCTTAGGAACTTTATTTGCTTGTGTGGGCTTTTTCAAAGAACTTAAGAGATTAATGACTTCGGCAAGTCCAGAACTGGTACTTTGTAATAACGTGCAACTCAGTAGATTGATTTTCTGTTTCAGACACATACGCATTGTTTGTTTCACAGAAATCAAATTATTTAGGAGAAGGATGAATATTCCAATTACAAGTTAGATGGAATTTTTTTTTACAATAAGATGAATTCTTGTGTATTTCATGGTGGATACAGATTTGATTAAAGCAAGACACATTCTGCAGATGTTCTAGCTAAATCCAAATTAGAATTTTTGAAAAAGGAGCATCCTGCAATTTTTTTTGTAGTCTGTCTTCTTATAGATGTTATCTAAGAGATCAAGGGATAGGTCCCATTTATGTAAAGCAGATCATTTCCTCTCTATGCATGTTTTTAATGTTGGTTCCTCTGGTATGAAGAAATAATCTGATCTGCAAAGCTGAGAGATGTGTATGGGTAAAGCAATAAATACATGCCTTCTTTGAAAAATACTGCCACTTTATCCTCTGCATTAGCCTGACTCTGTTTTTAAAGAGGTTTTTAAAAGTAAAGGATTATTGTCTATGAATCCCCCATCTTCCCAGCACAGGCATCCATAATTAAGGTCTGGTGGGGGAAAAAAAAGGCTGCTACTAAGTGCTTCAGAAAAAAATTAGGATAAAAGCAAAAAAAAAAAAAAAAAATCTCACTTTAAACAGTTTCCTATGAAGCAGTTGGCATTCTTACTGCTTTGATGGAAGTTGATGACTCACATGTTCATCTGCCAAGTGCATAAAGGGGAGCTAACACTCTTTGCAGGCAGTTTTCATTCTATAAAACATTGTATTCTACAAATAGAATTGCAGAGTTCACAAAAAATGTTGTATAGCAGAGATTACAACTTCAGATTTTCCTGTGTCAATTGTAGTATAGAAAAACACTGAATACCTGTATGTAATCCTTTGTTATTGGTTGGCAGTGAGATTTTAATGCTTTGCGACATAAAGAGGCTCATCTCAGCATGCATGTGGTATTAGACACATGTATGAAATGAGGGAAGTACCTTGTAATTGGAAGTATCACCATTATATCTGTACATTGTGTCCTTTTCTCTATCAGTCTACTGGTTCTTTCCATGTCCTCACTGAATTTTTAGTATTTGGAAAAATATATTCTCTTGTGGCCCAGCGAGATATTCTGTGTCCGAGGGTAGGTCTTGCACTATTTTGGAGTATAATATCCGTGCATTAATTCTCTGGATGACTTGGCCTAGGTGATTCTGCTCCATTGTATTTTGAGAGTCATACATTCTTGGTTTCTTCAATTGTGATGTATCTGCTTTTCTTTACTTTATCTTCAACTCAAGGGTCTGCAGTAACTATGTCTAATTCATTCTCAGCAACCTGCCCTTTTTACCCCTCAGCAGGTTGCTGTGGAGTTTTGTCTTGCTCTGCAGGTCCTGTATATATAATTCTTAATAACCCCTGAATATTCTTTGATCCTGGCTTTGAAGAAGTCTGGATAGAGGGATATTCTGTTGGGTAGGCACAGGGAATTCTGGTCTAAAGCCACATTCATTATTAAATTCAGCACCTGAAACTAATAGCTGCTATCAGAAAATCCACCCCAGAGAGGTGTGCCAGTATTGGTTTTGCATCCTTCCTAAGATATATATCATCAAATGTAAATGAAGTTATATCACTATAAAAATGGCTTTACCATAGTATATCTATTGATATTTAAAGTGAAGCATTGATATGAAAGTTCTCTTGCAAGGGCTTGTGCTGTAAATGCTGTATTGGTTAAAAAAATTAATCTAGGTCTTGGGTTTTCTCTATCCAGGAAGGGAACCTGGAACTCTCTGTGATGGTGAAACTTGGGTTCTCAATTGTTAAAGGAAAATGTTTCTAACATGACAGTGCTATAATATTCTGTTCAACATTTAATGGAAAATTAAGATGATTGTTGATAGGCTTACCTGTGTAGGATGTCATTAAAACTCTGTCCTCCTTGTACCTCATATATGGTCTAAATGTACTAGTATTAATTGCAAATCTTATTAAAACTGAATTTAAAAACATTCCAAAATATATGTGAGAGAATTTATTACATTAAAGGAAAAGGCCATATTTGTGAGACTTCAAAAACAATTTTAAAAAGTACATGCACAAATGTAAAAGACTGTTTTGTTCAGAAATCAGTTGTTTGAAATACTTGTTTTTAATTTCAGTGGCTTGGGCTTAGATCAGAGCTAATAGAAATATTGACATTTAATTTTTTTAGTTTTAGTATTTTTTTTTAAACTCAGAATGAGCTGAACAGAGGAAATGTTTTTCAAAAACTACTACAGAACAAAATTGTGTACCTTAAAAGCTCAGTAGTTTTAGCTTTCTGCCTTCTAGGAGTCACTAAATGCTAGAAACCTAAGGGGAAAGCACACTAAATACCTAAGAGGCGTGTTACTAAATGGCATTCCTTCAAATCTTAACAACGTAAACTAAACGAATTTGAACTGTCATCCAAAGTATTATCAGATGATGAAGGCATTTTTAATTAAAATAAATCCGACACAAAAAAGGAAGAGACATAGATGCCTTTTTGTATCATGTATCTTCTGCCTTTTTTCCCAGAAAGTTTCATGTCATCTGCTAGGTTTGCTTACATAGGATTTGTTTCTCAAGGAGGCTGTTCTTTCATCATGACTTCCAAAAAGCAAATGAAGTCTAATGAAAGGTATCCTTTGCATTCATTGCCTGATTATGTTTAGGAATCCTCCTTGAGCATGTTGCAGGTAACCAGAAGTCAAGCTAGTATAATGGCAACTTTGTAATAGAGAGTAGGAGCAAGAGAAAGATTAAAAGAACAGGGAAGGCAGATGTGTGTCTTTGCTGGTGGCAGGATCTCATCTCCTTTTATCTTGTTTAGGTTTCTCCTCTGCCTCCTACTTAAAGGTCCATGTTAAAACCCACCACGGTGTTCCCCTTCCCCAGGTCTCCAGGCACCAGGAGCCCATCCCGAATGGGGGAGCAGCGTTCCACTGCGTCAGGACCTATGGCATCAAAGGCAAGAGACTCGCTGCTCTGCACCTTGCTGCTCTGTGCAGAACTTTGTGTTGTGGGATGTTGGGCTGGGCATGAGAAAGGGGAGGGACGAAGGACAGGGAAAACACTAGTCACAAGCTTAGGGAGGTGCAGAGAAATTACAGAGCATCACATAGTATAATATCCGTCCTTGGATAGCCGATTTAAGAAGTCTGGAGGAAAGAGATGGACACGTAAGGGTACATGAGTTTTTAGGCAGCTTCTTTGTTTTTAGAGATTGAAAAAGCCACATTAGTTCATCTTGACCATTTTCTAAGAGCGGTCAGTATTTGAATTTTGCGTGACGTGGGGGTGCAAATCCTTGATAGTTCCTTAGTCCCACTATACTTGAATCTTGCGTCAGTCAAACGATGCTTCTGATTTCTGGTGAAGGAAGGGGGAGCTGCAGAATATAGTTCATAAAGATTCTGGAGCGGTGAAAGCAATATTCATTCTCAGGTTGATGAGGAGCCTTGCAGCTATCTGTAGATAAACTTACACTTTTAAATGCTGTTGTTGGGGAGGAGAGGTAGAGGGTGATAATAGTAGCGTTTTGGTTTTTTGTTTTGTTTGTTTTTTAACCTGCATTTAACTTCTGGAAAAAAAAAGAAAAAAGATACTATTGTAAGAATAGCTAAAGAGTATTTAACTTCTGAATATCTAAAGCTGTGTGTTAATCTATGTAGAATTGCTTGCTTTTTGCTTCTTGATTTGAGCTGTCAGTATTCCTGGTGAAGCTGAAACATCAGAAAATTCTTCAAAACTATGGTTGTCCCAAAAAGTTACGGTTTTTTTCCTTGCCCAGGAGAACACAGCAGGCTGGGTTAAACAGTCTGTGCCAGTGGAAAGCTACAGTTGTGTAATTTTTTTCTGTTGAAGTCCTGATAGAGTTACTACAGAAGCCCTTTGGTTTTGGGTGGTGTGCTGACTTAACAAGAGATTTACTCCAGCTCAGTGGTGTATTGGTTTCATGCATATCCTGTTTGGTTTGTAATGCTGAGTCCAGAGCAAATCTGTCTTTTGGGTTGTGCCAAGTGGTTCTTTGGTCTTTTAGAGTTAATAGTAGATACAGCTTATTTGTATTCAGAGACTTGTTTAAGGAGTATGTCTGGGTTTCCCACGCTCATTCATATGCGCTGAGTAAAAAGTGTGGACAAACTTTCTTGGCGTACTGCCAGAGGGAAATGGGGAACACTCCAAACATACCAATGGCTTTGCTAGGATATGTGTCCAAATGTCTTAAAATAGTGTCCCTCACCTCTCTCCTGTTTCACACTACAGTATTTAAAGATGGAACGATTTTAGATTATGAAGTTCACTTCTAACAGTGTTTTACTTGGAAAAAAAGAGTTCCTTGCTGGAATTCCACTTCTTAAATTGCAGTATCTCACTGCTGTTTTGCTGAGTATTTCCAGGTTTCTTCACATCTTGCTGTAGCCTGTTATACTTTATTAGGTTTCTAGGCTCTCCCCCAAAGTATCGACAATATTTCAGAAGTGTGGGAGTGACTTGTACAGTTAAAAACTTGTCATTAGGTCCATCCTTTTGTAGTGCCTGAGGTATAAACGTTGTGAGACATCTTTGGGATTAAAAAAAAAGTATTATATAAACCAGAGACCCATTATCATGACAAATCCATAATAAAAACCTTGGTGTTGCTCTGATGCAAACCCAGTGTTTTGTAAAGAGGACCTATGGTCAAGGGCTTTAGAATATGAGGGATTGCAATGTTACATGTGTATCATTCTGGAATGACAGGCATTAATGAAATCAAGTGGTAATCAATATCATCTATTTGAATGCATGTTAAATAATTTTTGGGAGATAAGATTCTGAAAACTTCTCTTTTTTTTTTTTTTTTTTTCCCATAGAAGGCCAGAAATGTTCACATTCGGACCCGATTGAGAGTTCTGATTCATACGGAGACCTCTCTGACACCAGTGACCTCAAGACTCCTGAGAAACAGAGCACCAATGGGTCCTTCTCGTGTGACATGGCAGTCAGCAAAAACAAAATGGAGACGGAAGGAGAGAAGAAGTACCCTTGCCCTGAATGTGGCAGCTTTTTCAGATCAAAGTCTTATCTGAACAAACACATACAGAAAGTTCACGTCAGGGCCCTTGGTGGCCCATTGGGGGACCTCGGTCCTGCTCTAGGATCCCCCTTTTCACCCCAACAGAACATGTCTCTCTTGGAGTCATTTGGGTTTCAGATCGTCCAGTCAGCATTTGCATCATCCCTAGTGGATCCAGAGGTCGACCAGCAACCGATGGGGCCAGAGGGGAAATGAGATCAGTTTGATCTTAACAAAGCAAAGCAGCAGTCTGGCTATAATGATGAGATGCTGTGAATGAAAGAGGAAATAATGAAATTTGGTTCTATAGCTGAGAATTTTTTATTCATTTTAGCTTCCCTCTTTGTCTCATGCCCTACCCCACCTTTAAACCTTCACTGGGGAGAGGAAGAAAATGCTTCTTAGCTGATAAATTACAGAAGATGGTGACCTTGAATAGGAGACATGACCTAAAACATCGAATGGAGCTTTAGAGGCTGCTACTGGTGTTTCGTCATGATCTTCTAGAATAAATAAAAGTTGCCAGCACTGATCTGAGAATTAGACAGTCAGAGTGACTGAGGCACCTGGGGAGCTACAGCTACAGGGAGCTATGCTTTTGTTCTCTCTCTATTCCCCACCTTCCCTAACATACCCCAGAAAAAGTAAGTTTTAAAACCAGACCCATTATCGACCCATTATTGAATATAACTTTAAGTAAAATGTCCCGTGGTACCTAGCAGGTTACAATGCAGTTGTCCTTTTAAAAACAGAAAAATTTAAAGAAGGTGAGAGAATTTGAACCCCTTCTGCCATTTGTGAGGCTGTGAGTGCTGCAGCAGGACTGAACTGCTGAGAAAAATCACCATTCAGAACAGGTTGGTTTTGTTACTTTTAACCATTAAACTTGCTGTCAGGTTTTTAATTCTCTATTATTATTATTTTAGGACCTGTTGTAATGAATTGCTACTGAAAAGCCAGTCTAAGGCGACACAGAGCACTCTTAAAGCAGCAGTCACATTAGGGTTAGTATTAATTTTTTTTTAGATGTACCATAATTAATAACTTGGCTAGTTGATTGTTTTAAGTCTATGAAAGAAATAGTTTTATGAAAAAAAAAAAAAAAGAAAAAAAAAAGAAAGGGGAAAATACCATTGCAGTCTGGTTGACTGGTGCTCATTTTTCATGTGGGGACCTAGGGTATAAACACGATCAGCTATCGGGTTAACACTATGTACCACTGACTTGTTTAGTGTGAATAAACCCAGGGGTTCACAGAGTGATTTTGGTTTAATTGGATTGGACTGTATTAAAGAAGTTAGTACGTTACTTTGCATCCCCTCGTTTTGTCTGGTTTTTAAGCAATTTAGCCACCTGTCCTAAAGGTGTGCAAATGAGAACCAGTAAATAAGACACTAATCCCTCTCTATGCTGTACTGTATTCTTAGTGAGCTGGGCTTTTTGGCTACAGTCATGCTCTCCTGATCTGCCTCAAGTCAGGTTTGCAAAAGCCAGTTTTAGTCCTTTCTTTTTCCGAAGAAGGGTTTCTACTATAAGAGATGGGAATTGCAAACAGCATATCTCTGAAAAAGAATTGATTACAAAATGCAAAGAAGCTGGACTCTAGGCTGTTGCAGGTTCCATTTAATCTGAAAATACCACTTGTGCAGAAGTAATGTCCTTTCTTGGCCCTCCCTTTCCTCCCATGTAACTTGTCAAGGTCTTCATGTACCAAATCCAGGTATAAATGTTGTTTAACACAGGGTTAGGAGTTAGGAATGCTCTGAGTTATAATTATGGTTCTGCTGTTGATGCTCAAGGTCACATAGGACAGCTCACTGAATTTATATTCCTTAATTTCCCATCTGTGAAGAGTTTTCTCTACATCACAGTTGTTGAAGAGAAAAGGTTTAAGCAGTAATTTGGTAAATTAAGTTGCTATGTGTACTGAATGTTTCTAGAAAGGCCACTCTGAAGAGCTTAAGTCCCACATTGAACTTGCATTCTATGAAACAATAGCTGTCTCCATCATTAATACCGCGTTGGAGCAGGATAGGCCACCTCAGACCAGGAGATATGTCTGTATTAAATGTGAACATAGCCACAAACTGCTGTTGTGCCACAACTTGCTTTGCCCAGGTGCTCGTAATCCAAACCCTGCAGCAAATGCATAACTGAAATAAGAGACATTCCTGTTTTGTTTCTGTGTTAGAATTATAGAGCCTTTTGTAAGTATATGGATTTTGGAATGATGTTCTAGATTCTAAAGACTTAGAAGCCCCAGCTTCTCTCTTGTAAGAAGCTACTTTTTCATACTTGCTCTCAAGTATTATAAACCAAGGATGAATAATCAATGGCTTTCTCTTTATAGCACCAGCACTTTCTAAATTGAGAGCATGTTGCAGTGGACTTGATGTTTTGCTATTAATCTGTGTTGGGAGACTGAAGGACATGTTCTTCTCCTTTCATCTTCCCCCAGAATCCCTGGAATAGGTATGAGTCTCATTTAAAAGGGAAAAACAAAAGCAACAAAAAAACCAACCCACCTTTAAACTAAAGCTTCATAGAATTGCTATTGCTGTACTGGTAAGCTTAGTTGACAAGTAGAAACAGGACATTTCGGAAAGGTAACAAAACATTTTAAAATACCTTACAAATCTAGACCATGACGAGACAACCTTGTAAGCTGCCAAGCAAGTCAAGATACAGCAGGCTTTCCAGTCAGCATAACAATTCATTGGGATCAGCAAATACAACTGATTTACTAATAGCCTCCTGATTTACAGGAAAATGTGTGTTTAATTGAGGCTGTATTCTGAAAGATGTAAGAAGATTGTGTCCCCTATGTTCCTATATGCATTCAAAGAGGGTACGCTAGTCTCAAAATTCAACTCCAAAAGCCAAGTCCAGAATATAGGATATTTTCATCCTACATTTAGCTCCACTGACTTCAGTGTTCCTAGTGGGTTGAATTTTGGCCATGTGTATCAGAATTTAATTCTGAATGCTATGGAATTTGACCTGATGAAATAAATGAAAAGCCTTGAACTAAAAAGGAAGCCTTCTAAAACACTAACTGTGCATTTTGCTTGTCAAACAAAATGCTTACTAAGTTGTCATGAATACGTTGAATGAACGCTACTTAGTTCTCAGTCTAGTGGACAGGGAAACACATTAGGCAGGAAGTTAACAATCCCGAAATTGCAGTTCCAGATCATCCTGGTGTAAATGGGAGAGATTTGCACCAACACAAGAGACTGGTGCAGACTAGTGCCAGCCATAGGTTGGGCAGATACTTAGTAGTGGTGTATTTTCACAGCTTTTTGCTTCTTTGGGGCCATATTGTTCTGTTATGGATAGTAGATTAATCTACATGCAAATTCTTTATATTCTGTACTTTGGGAAATGTGTGCTTCTCACAGAACAGAAGACGGATCCCAACTCAGCCTTGTAAGTTCAGTGTTCAAAGGGGAATACTTAATGTGCCCTGAGCTGCAACCTCACTTAACTTGTTTCTATTACATTTTTTTACTGGCATATCAGTGTATAGATGATCATTCTCATTTTGGGCCAGCCCTTCTTTCCTTGTCATCTTCTTTGGTGGGACTGCAAGCCAATGTTTCAGTCAGTGCACTTCTCTGCCAAGAAGGAAACTTCAGTTCATACAAATTTTGATAATCAGAGATGTAGTATTTCTTTGTATTATAGGAGTCCTTAAACCTCTCAACTGAGGCTCAGACCCTTGTGTATTAGGTATGATGAAAACATCTTCAAGCATTTATAATCTAAACATTAAAGATAGACAAGAAAGGAATCGATGCTTATACGTGAATGAGTGAAATAAAGATGAAGGACTAAAAACCGCATGCATGCTTAAGTGTTGCGTTGAATGTAAGGGCACAGACTTCTCAGGCTTCTTTTGTTGCCTGAAATAATTTATCTTCATGTACTGTTAATCCACCGCGAATGCAAGGTAAAGCAATTTAATGTGAATTTATTCCATACTGAGTTAATTGACATTACCTTGCATTTGTCATGTGCTAGATGTGTGCAAGCAGACTTACTAGTGTGGCTCACCTGATGCATGGTAATGTGGTGCATGTGAGCTCTCAGTCCTAAGTGATTTGCCCATGATGACGTGGGAAATTGATAGCAGAACCAGAAATTGAACACAGATTTTTCCTTCTCTCAATCCAGTGCCTTAACTATAGTAGGGCAAAGTATTATATGTTGGGGGGGTGTGTGATTGTTTTGTTTGGTTTTTAAAGCCTAGAACTATAAGATGGTGTGGAGTTGGTCTTCCTACCACCCTTTTGAATGATTGCAAATGCCCAGTCACAATTTTAGACCTGTTTGAGTGCCAGTGACTTGGGGAATATTTGTTATTTCCCACATATTCCCTGAAATTATTGTTCCTCCCTCAACTGCTGTCAGCAGTAAGGAATGACTTGAATAGAAGAGCTGTGTAACTGAATGTCTATCTAACTCAACTAATTGAATTGATAGTATGAAAGCTAACCTAGATTTTGTAGGCTCTGTTGTAACTTTAGTGTCTTGTTTTTTCACTAAATCTTTGTTCCTAGAAATCAGTATCTGAACTGATGTCTTGAGTCTGGAGTGGGGTACCACTTTCAGCTTTAATTTTTTTTAAGGTGCTTGCTTGAGGAAGTAGATGCCAAAGTAAACTTCAAAGGAACTCCAGACTTCAGTGTTGGAAGAATGAATGGAGAGCAAGAGCTCTCTTTGGGTTTCATGAGAGATAAATGGACAAAGTAAAAAACAGCTGCCAAAATTTTAAGTAATGAGACAGGAAAGCCTTTTCTTTATCACCCACAAAAATAATTCAGTTGTTCGGCATGGCAGAAACATGTCTGAGAGCAAGTGCCAAACAAAACCATGGGATGTGTTGGCTTTTTCAGCATTATGAATACACCTAACAGCATTAGTTTAATGTAAATTAAGCCAGCTTTCTACCATTCACCTTTTGCCTGGACAGAGTACTTTCAATTGAATAGAACATAAGCTCACAGTGAATCTCTGAGCTTATGCTCTCAGTTCCACCCTGAGTGACAAAACAAATGAGCAAAGAGGGAAAAAATACAATAGGAAAACTTCAAAGCAAACACAGATTCTGGAAGATTCCTGTGTCTCCTGAGAGAGTCCCTTTTTTTATCCTGAACATCATCTTCAAAACAAGATCCTTCAGCTGTTGTGAATGAGCCTTTGGGAACAGATTTGGCTTTCAGCCCAGTCTGCTGCTCAGTGTCCCTGTGAGAAGGCAGTGTGTTGTGGAGCACTGAGCCTGAGACCTGGAGGGAGGCAGTGCTCCTGAGCTGAAGCCTGAGACCACGTTTACTGTTGCGGAGTCAGCAGCAGCAACATTGGCATAATGTCTTCCTGCCTGCTCCCTTGACATCTTCACGCTCTGCACATTTCCGTGCCAGTGTATGTACCTACTCAGATCAGTACAGCTCTGTAAATAACTTTGTTAGCTATGAAACAAACCGGAGAACTGTTTGGCTAAAAAGGAAAAAAAAAGACCCAACCCAACTTAAAAATAGTTATGTGACATAACTGCTAAGTGGTGCAGAACAGGAGCAGGAACTCTGGCTATAAGAGGTTGTGGTGATGGCTGGAATGGTTAAAGCATGTTGGAGAAAAACCACAGTTGTTTGTTCTGTGGTAGCAGATAATGACTGGCTGTTTGTAAAGAATTAACACCTTGTGTCATCTCTAGCCTCTTCCTGTGTTCTGTTCCCATCTATAAAATAAGATGGTAACCCTTGGGTAAGAATGTTTCAGGATCTGATTGACGTGCCAATTTGTGCTGCACGATTGTGCTGCTGAACTCTGCTACAAACGTTTGGCCTCACTGACTTCAAGCATAATGCAAAGATAAATATTTGGC